GTGGCTTTAATACTGGAAGAACACACATCAATAACTTGCCGTGCTATAGTGACTCCGACAGCATGCAAATGATCCACAAAATTAAAAAAAAAGGGCGGCCAAATTTATGACAACAGGTACAGCAACAGTCTTAGAATTGACAATAAAGATAATGAAGTGAACGATACAGAAGTGATGTATACCTCTTGCCTTTTAGGAGTAACTATCAGTAGTAAAAGAACCAGCAGTCAAGAAATGCACTATATACTAGAACTTGGAGTGAAGGTATTGGGAAAGATATTCAGATGACAGGATATATTTATAACTGCAAAGATCCAAAGAAACTTTCTCTGTGACACCGTATGGAAAATAATGCTAAACTTGGATGAAATGGATTAGAAAGATTACAGGTAGTCTTTAACTTATAAATAATTTAGATGAGGGAATAGAAGGGGAACTCATCAATTTTGCAGACGACACCAAGGTGGCAGGAATAGCCAACACCCCAGAAGGTTCAATTTCCAAAAGGATCTCAATGGACTTGAACACTGGGCCCTAACAACAAAATGAAATTCAATACTGAGAAAAGTAAGGTTTTACACCTGGGCAGGAAAAGCCAAAGGTACAAGTACAGATTAAAAACAACAACCATAAATGTTGAGTCAGATGGAAACGGACTCAACAGCAGTAACTGAGAGAGATCTTGGAGTCCTGGTGGACAATCATTTAAATATGAGTACATATGGTGTATGGTGGGGAATGGAAGGATTTATATTTCTTATACTCCTTATACTCAAGGAGTATAAATTCTTCCATTCCCCACCATCCAGCCAGAGCTGAAGAAACTTCTTGGATGAGAAGCGAACATCTTCAAAGAAAAACCAGAAAGTCCAATTGCCTCTTGAAAAAAAGCACATTTGGGAGAATCTGACTTTGCTTGTCAGAAGCCAGCTAGGAAGCTTACAAATGGTGATCACATAGGCCTCCAAGACCATGCAACTGTCATACGTGTCAGTTGCCAAGCCTCCAAATTTTGGCGATCACACAACCATAGGGGTGCTGCAATGGTAGGAAGTGTGAAAACCGGTCATAAATCACTTTTTTCAATGTTGTTGTTTTAACAGTGTTGTTGTTTGAATGGTTACTAAAGAAATGATTGTAGGTCGAGGTGTTTTTGAACTTAAATAGATCATTGATCAAATCAACCAGAATTCTCATTTGAGACACATCAGACTCAAATTCTCTTATTTCAGACCTAATATTGCAGGCCTAGCTCTCTGGAGAAGCCTATACTGGAAAAGATGGTAGGAAAGAGATTTGACTCAATTATAGTTGCAAGAGGTGCACCATTAGTAGAGACCTGAAAGACCACAATGGGAAGAAGCAAATTTATCTGTATAGTTACTAAGATTCTATATTGATTTGATGGCACATAATCAACCAAAGCAATATGATTGATTGCGGGTTTTCTTTTTCTTTTTGACCTTTGAGCAGTTTTGATTCCTGAGTAGTCCCTGCAGTTTTCTTGTAAGCGATGTGCCATTTCCTCCTTCCTAGTGAGTGACTGGCCCAAGGTTTTCCAACTGGAGGAGAACAAGAACTCTCCAGGTTTCTAACCACCTGCCTTAACCATTACACCATACAGGCTCTTCATGTGTATGTTACTTTATGTGTACTGTATGCCTTTTGCCTGATTTGGGAAGGTTGGGATGTATACCACTCAAGAGTCATTCATGACTGAAGTAGTTTATAAGCCCAAGAAAATTAAGAGATAAATTTAAAATAAACAAATCAGACTTTCTTTATAGTATTTCTCCAACCTGACAACTTCCAGATGATGGGGTTTCCAATTCACTGAACTCCCCAATTGGCACAGCCATTGCTGTCCTCATCAGTGGAAGTGCTACAAGTAGGTAAAAAACTGCTACAAGGCTGCTTGATGATGAACCAAATAAATGATAAGCCAGCCTCTTACCCTGTTGTTGCCAGGATTTCATCTCCATCCGGGATAAGATGGAAAAGAAATTTAGAGAGAAACCAGCCAGTTTATTTTAAAATGTAAAAGATGAAGGCAATGCACTGGGTAAAAATGACTTTACGCATCTAATATAACCAATGCAAACATGTATATCTAAAATGTACTGCTTTTATGACACATCAGACTCAAATTCTCTTATTTCAGACCTAATATTGCAGGCCTAGCTCTCTGGAGAAGCCTATACTGGAAAAGATGGTAGGAAAGAGATTTGACTCAATTATAGTTGCAAGAGGTGCACCATTAGTAGACCTGAAAGACCACAATGGGAAGAAGCAAATTTATCTGTATAGTTACTAAGATTCTATATTGATTTGATGGCACATAATCAACCAAAGCAATATGATTGATTGCGGGTTTTCTTTTTCTTTTTGACCTTTGAGCAGTTTTGATTCCTGAGTAGTCCCTGCAGTTTTCTTGTAAGCGATGTGCCATTTCCTCCTTCCTAGTGAGTGACTGGCCCAAGGTTTTCCAACTGGAGGAGAACAAGAACTCTCCAGGTTTCTAACCACCTGCCTTAACCATTACACCATACAGGCTCTTCATGTGTATGTTACTTTATGTGTACTGTATGCCTTTTGCCTGATTTGGGAAGGTTGGGATGTATACCACTCAAGAGTCATTCATGACTGAAGTAGTTTATAAGCCCAAGAAAATTAAGAGATAAATTTAAAATAAACAAATCAGACTTTCTTTATAGTATTTCTCCAACCTGACAACTTCCAGATGATGGGGTTTCCAATTCACTGAACTCCCCAATTGGCACAGCCATTGCTGTCCTCATCAGTGGAAGTGCTACAAGTAGGTAAAAAACTGCTACAAGGCTGCTTGATGATGAACCAAATAAATGATAAGCCAGCCTCTTACCCTGTTGTTGCCAGGATTTCATCTCCATCCGGGATAAGATGGAAAAGAAATTTAGAGAGAAACCAGCCAGTTTATTTTAAAATGTAAAAGATGAAGGCAATGCACTGGGTAAAAATGACTTTACGCATCTAATATAACCAATGCAAACATGTATATCTAAAATGTACTGCTTTTATGATTAAAACTCAACTTTGCTTGTTTATTAAAAGCATATGCCTGGCATTATCCTCTGTATTATGATCTTATGACCCTGAATTGCTGAAGTGTTCAAGATGATTGCCTCCCTTCAGATTTAATCCAGTCCTACTCATATCAGTCATGTTAGAGATTATATGAAATAATGCATATTTTTCGATGGATCCAGTATAGAAATGGCAAACCTTTCTTTACGTAATGTGATATAATAACATTTCCATTTCATTGGTTTTTAAAATATATTATCTGAAGAGAAAATATGGCCTGTTCAAAATCTTGAGGATGACAAACTAGGCCAGCCTCACAGACCAGCACTTTCCAATCATCCAGATGTATTTCAAAGCATTCCAGCAGTTTAAGTTCCAATACATCTGGAGGATTTACAAGGAAGGACGACCCCATTCAAGACAACGCAAGTGCCTGAAACTTCTGTTCTGTTTTCTTTATAATGTGATTTCTATGTATCGTTTTGAATCACCTATGATAAAAACAGGGCAGGAATAACTGCTAAAGAGCCTTGAAAGTACAGTGGTCTACGCACCCTGTTATTAACACAGCTGCCTGCAATTTACTGCTGGTTCGAATCTCTCCAAGGCTCAAGGTTGACTCAGCCTTCCATCCTTTCTAAGGTAGGTGAAATGAGGACCCAGTTTGTGGGGGCAATAAGCTGACTTTGTATAAATATACAAAAGGATGAAGGCTATTGCTTAGCACATTGTAAGCTGCCCTGAGTCTCCGGAGAAGGGCGGCATATAAATCAAATTAAAAAACAAAAAACAAAAAACAAACAAACCAGAATGTCGTCTTTAATATGTTGAACCTGAATGGAAATAGAATACAGCTTTAATTCTGCCAAAATGTCAAGTCACCTTGAATTATGAAGTGTTCTTCCCCCATATATATATATATGGGGAAGAACACTTCATAATTCAAGGTGACTTGACATTTTGGCAGAATTATATATGCAATTTATGACTATCCTTTTCCAGCAGGGCCTTCCAAGTCAATTATTGATCCTGGATCTTCTCAACGTTGCTTTTACACATTACCCCCGATATCCTTTTACCCTGACAGGCATCCGATTGCGTTCAAAGGCAGAGAGCATGGTTTTGTTTTTTTTTTAAAAAAAAAACCCCAACAACCCACAACCCACACACTCCTCGCGATCAATACACGCTAAACTGCTGAGGGCAAGCAAAGCCGCAGTCCTGCAAGCGAAGAACGAGCTCAAAAAGAAGAGACGCGGCAACGCTTGGAGTCGCAGGCACCACCTGCTTGCTAGAACAAGAAATCATAGCAATTGCTACTCCCCGGTGTGTGTGTGTGTGTGTTGGACATACATCCTGTGGGACAACAACTAAAGCCAGCGTCGGTCCCGTTGTGGGCTGACGGGTAGGAGGAGGAGAGAGATGTTAAGAGAAACACAACGTCAAACGACGGTTCTCTCTCTCTCTCTCTCTCTCTCTCCATGCCCTTCCTTGTCGCTATGAAAAATCGCTGCACCAATTTCCCGCAACTGAGGAAGGATGGGGCTGTGGGGGGGGGGGTGAGGAATAGCAGTTCTGCCGTCGAAGCCCACCGTATCCCTCACACACGCCCCACAAACGCCAGCCTCATCAGCCCCGGCAGCGCAAGCGCTACAAAACATGGGGGAGCTGCTAGGTCCTCTCGGCTAGGTGAGGCGAAAAGCAGCTAACCCCCAAATCCGCCCGGAAGCTCCGAGCCAGGCGACGAGCAAGTGCCAGACCGCCGCCGCCACTAAAACACGCAACGCGCCGGCGTTTTTCCCGCCGCTCCCGCTCTCCTTCTTTGCCTTCGCATCTCCGCGCCCCGTCTTCCCGTCTTCCTTACGCCGCCACCCCTTCCCACGCGCTCAAGAAAGATACACAAAAGGAGGCGGGCGGCGCCCAGGAGGCTCGCTTACCCTGACGCCGCCAACGCCGCCGTTGCGCAGGGTGGCCGGATTCTCCTCGGCGCGGCGAGATAGTTTGACCGCCTGGCGCTCGCCTCCTTTCGGATGAGGAAAGCCGCGGCGGCCGCCCCGCCACAATCCCTTCAACAATGAGAGGCCGAGGCCGGCCCAGCACAGCACAGCACAGCTGCATGCACCCGCTCGCCCGGCCTCGCTTCCTCCCCTTGAGCGGCGGTGCCAAAGCCGCCGGGGACGGCGGAGCGCTGATTCCTCTCACGCGACAGGCCGCCCGTCCCGCCGGCAGGGTCTCGCCGAGGAAGAAGCCCCCATTTCTTCCCCTGGCGAGGCGAAGGGGTGGCGCCGCGCTCGGGTTTATAGTTACACCGAGCTAACGGGGATGGGGTGGGGCAGAAGGCGGACACCTCAGAGGAAAGGGATCCAACGGCGGGCTCGGCAGAGACAGTCGCATGCCAGCCTCTGCTTTTGGGGTGGGAGGTTGTTTTAGTTTTGTTTTTTCCCCCTCCAGCCTCAGGGAACCCAGATTGGCTTTGGGATTGTTGTAATTGGAGGTGGGCGGGGGGAGAGAAACTTTGGGGTAACCGCTCAAATCAGCCCCAAGAGCCTTGGTAGTACAGTGGTTTAAAGCACCCTGTTATTAACACAGCTGCCTGCAATTACTGCAAGTTCGAATCTCCCCAGGCTCAAGGTTGACTCAGCCTTCCATCCTTTCTAAGGTAGGTTAAATGAGGACCCAGTTTGTGGAGGCAATAAGCTGACTTTGTATAAAATATACAAAAGTATGAAGGCTAGTGCTTAACGCATTGTAAGCCGCCCTGAGTCTCCGGAGAAGGGCGGCATATAAATCAAATTAAACAAAAATAAATCAAATTAAACAAAATAACGGGGATCAGGTGGATGAGAAGAGAAGCAGCAGTGCCAAAGGAGGACCAGAGGCAGGATGACGTCAGCTCTTCAGTGTAAACCAGAGAGGGCATCCAAAAACATGGAAACCTTTATTGGGAGGGAATGGAGATGTCTGTGGAGATTCTCAGTCACCCAGGTCATGGGTGCTTTTTTTTTCAAGAGGCACCTGGAGAGATGAAGAAGCTTCTTGGATGAGAAGCCAAACGGCTTCAAAGAAAAACCAGGGAAATCCAGCTGCCTCTTGAAAAAAAAAAAAAAAAAAGCACCTTTGGAAGGGAATGGAGAGTTGGAAGACTCTTGCTAACTTGCTTGAGCTTAGCCAACTGTTGGGGATGTTATCACCTTGAAGGCCCTCCCCATCTCTTTAAACTTCAATTATTCCGACCCTGTTTTAACTGCCTTTTATTGACTTAAAATACTTGCACCGTTTTTATGTATGTTTTTCATTGTACAGTGCCCAGAGTTAATCTGTGAGTGAGATGGTCTGTAAATTTGATATAGAAATAAAATAAATAAAAATAAATATCGTGTAAGTTTGACAGCACGTTTCTTTGCCTTTACTTTCCAAAGAATTAAGGAGAGTCCCTTCTGAGATGCTTTCCATCCCTATTCGTTCTGTGGGCTGAGATGTCTCTTATATAATCTTGTCCTGGCTGCAGCCCCCAAAGTTATTCTCACACTCCATTACATCTGGAGGATAGGCCCATCTCATTCCCTCTTCCAAGCCAAGGAATATTCTTGTCAATCTATGCTGTTATGTGTGTCTGTCTATTATCTATCCATCTATCCATCCATCCATCCATCCATCCATCATCTCTATTATCTCCCTCTCTATAACTGTCTGTCTGTCTGTCTGTCTATCGTCTCCCTCTATAACTGTCCGTCCTTCCATCGTCTGTCTGTCTGTCTGTCTAACTATCATCCATCTCTCTATAACTGACTGTCTGACTGTCTGTCTGTCTATCATGGGGTGAAATCCAGCAGGTTTTGACAGGTTCTGGAGAACCGGTAGCGGAAATTTTGAGCAGTTCAGAGAACCGGTAGTGGAAATTTTGAGTAGTTCAGAGAACTGGCAAATACCACCTCTGGCTGGCCCCAGAGTGGGGTGGCAATGGAGATTTTGCAATATCCTTCCTCCAGGAGTGGGGAGGGAATGGGGATTTTGCAGTATCCTTCCTCTGCCACGCCCACCAAGCTATGCCCACAGAACCGGTAGTAAAAAAATTTGGATTTCACCACTAATCTATCAGCTGTCTGTCTGTCTGCCTGTCTATCTATCTATTCACACACACACACACATATTTATCTTGACTTTCCTCTATTGTATATGTTCGTATATGCACCCTAATTTCCTTATATGCAAATCAATGTTAAAATATGAGAGTTGAGAACACAAATGACATGGAAATTAAAAGCAACAGAACACTTAACATGATATGGGTATAATTTCTATGTAGAAAGCTTGGTCCAAAGTAGCTGAAGGTAGAGTGGGAAGCCATTTAACTTCCTTCTAGATCATACAGAAACCTGAGAAAAACCAATGAAATGATTTTTATGAAAAAGCAAATGCACAGCGCCACATCTATATCTCCCCTAGGCATCTTTTCCAACTTTCAGCCTTGGTTCAGATTAGTTCAAGCGATCAGATTTGCCATGAATGGTATGGAAGAATGAGTGTCTGGCTTGTTTGCCATTGGCAGCACCCATTTCAAAATCTGCAACCAAGCATTAACTTAAATCCTCGGGGACTTTCTCCATTCCCCAGGCAGTGACAAAAGATTTTTTACTTGTCACCTGCACACGTTGGATTACATGGCATTTCTACCTGCTATTTTTTTTTGCAAAGAATTTCCTTTCTCCTTATACTCTTTTCTTGCAATACCTGTTTCCCTGCCCTTAAGGGTTTGTACTCTGAAAGACGTTAAATGCTATCTGCTGCTGAGGTTTCCTCCTTGTATAATAAATGCTTGCTCTCCACCCACTTCTTTTCTTTTTCACATTGGAGGAAACCATTCGTCACCTTGGGTCGGGCAGGGAGTGGAGAAGGAGGGCAGAATATATGTTTTATTCCCTTGTTATCTCCAGTACAGTTTTTCTGCTGATGTACTTATGTACAGTACTTATTTGCTGTTCTAATTGTTAATTAGATCTTTGCTAAATTCTCACTCCTGTGCACACACCATTCATGCCCATACAGCTAAAATACTCCCTACTATTTTGATTTTTTTTTCTTCCAAAAATCTTTAGAATATAATATTTTTTTTAAAGTAACCTTACATACATTTCTACGGTCTATAATCTATTAGTTAACTTAATGATGCCGAAGCATACAGTATAACTTATATTGGGTGCCACCGGTACATAGATTTAGTAAAAAGCAAGTTATAATAATTCTACTTATGTGATATGCAATCAGCTCATTGCAGTTTTGCAATACTACTAAAGATAAAGACTTGCCAAAGTTGAGCTTGACTGGTTATCATGCAGAAAAACCCAATGGAATTTTTAAAATTTATACTCTTTTTGAAATAAGTAATGGCAAAGAGCAGAAAAGGAAAGAACAGATAAATTAAGGAAACCCAGATGAGTCTAGTTTATACCAACACCATTCACTGCATCGCTCTAAACTTTTCTGTCCTTGCAATCCATTGCTTTCTCCCAACCCCACACATTGTCCCTTTTAAGCTTCTCACCTCTTTCAGAAGAACTTATCAACTCCATCCAACCACGAGTTTCTCACTCTTCCTTTCTTCTTCCTCAAACCATTTACTCTCGCTCGCTTCAAATTCTTGTTTTGTAATTCAGTTCCCCTCCTCTATTTGAGTTCAAATATTGACTTTATTTGAATCCATAGACCTTCTGTTCTTCAATGTCCGATACAAATGATTCTCAAATGATAGCTTGTTATTTCACAGCTTCACAGCAGGTGGTGATATTTAACTTTTCTGCACTCTAAAAAAATCCCACTTCAATGTGGATTTTTTGTTTTTTTGTTTTGTTTTGCAGACTATTCATTTTTACATTCAACTTAATGAATGAAATGTAGGTACATCCACATTACACCAATTCTCCACGAGCTGCACTGGCTCCCTATTGGTCTCCGGTCACAATTCAAGGTGTTGGTTATTACCTTTAAAGTCCTACATGGCTCAGGGCCAGGGTATCTCCAAGACCGCCTTCTACTGCGGTAGACGACCGGTAAGATCCCACAGAGTTAGTCTCCTCCAGGTCCCGTCAGCTAAACAATGCCGGCTGGCGGGCCCGCGGGGGAGGGCGTTCTCTGTGGCTGCCCCAGCTCTCTGGAACCAGTTACCTCCTGAGGTCCGGACCATCCCTACCCTATTGGCCTTCCGAAAAGCGGTGAAGACCTGGCTTTTCCGGCAGGCCTGGGGCCGTTGATCTCGCTCTTGCGATCTGGCGAGATCCAGCCATGAATGGTGTGAATGAGTTTTAATGTTTTTAATTCTTAAATGTTTTTTATAATGATTTTAAATGCATTGTGAGCCGCCCTGAGTCTTCGGAGAGGGGCAGCATACAAATTTAATAAATAAATAATACTCACCAAACACCAATCCCATTCATTTGTGGGTTTCTAAATGGCTTACTTTTTTGTATCCTCTTATCTTCTTCCAAACTACCTTTTCATGTCATCATACATACATGTGTGTGTACTGCATATGTGTACTATACACACACACATCCATATATACATACTTATCTAATTATATATGCTACATATATTATTTGATGTACCAATATAAAAAAGTTTGCACTTCACACCTATATCTCCAAAGAAGAGTAACTCCACTGTATTTTAGACTAGGTATCCCACACATTTCTAGTAAGTGGGACTGCTATCAGTTGAGTTGTGACAATGTATATTATTATTATTCAAGTTTGCAGTGGTACTCCTGTAGCAATCTACACAATGTAACTAAAACACATTCTGTTATGCTAGTTCTTTATTATAGTTGCATCAAAACAAGATAGTTTGATGTAAATGTCCCAGATTCTTTGTTTTATAAACTGTAAACATCATTAGATGTGGTATTTTCAATTTTGAAAAATAAGAAAATGAGTGGCTATGTACAGTAGTGGCACAGATAAGAGACATGGTGGTGCAGTGGTTAGAATGCAGTATTGCAGGTTGACTCTGCCCATTGTCAAAAGTTTGATCCTGACCGGCTGAAGGTTGATTCAGTCTTCTATCCTTCCGAGGTTGGTAAAATGAGGACCCAGATTGTTGGGGGCAATATGTCGGCTTTGTAAACACTTTAGAGAGGGCTATAAAGTACTATGAAGCGGTATATAAGTCAAAATGCTACTGCTATTGTTACTTCACTTTAGAGTGAGTGCTGAATATTGCCAAACAATACATCAAACAATGAAAATTCCAGACTTCAAAGGTTTTTAACAAAGGTCATTTCTGAATTGAGTTCAGTTGGATGGAT